CTACTACTACTACCACTACTACTACTACTACTACTACTACTACTACTACTACTACTACGACTACTACTATTACTACTACTACTACTACTACTACTACTGATACTGATACTAATACTAATAATGTTATACCATCACCGCTACGGTAACATCAGGTTTTACACTGCATGGTATAACAACAAAAATGTGTTACATGGATTGAAAACATTTAATATTGAACAAAGCTAAGAAAAAGATGATACATTTGGTTTGTTTCCACTGGCGTCAGTCAATAAAGTTTATCATGATTGCTTTATTCAATCTCCGTGTTGCGTTTTACTGATTCTTACTATATATAGCAGTTGATATTACCTAAGCATTTTGTATTACGTTTGCAGTATTAATGGCTTCCGGCTAAAAGTAAATGTAGAAGCTGCCAAAAAGATTATTTATCAATAAGCAATTTTAAATTATCTATCAGCTTCTGGATATTTTTATGGCCAAAATATATATCAATGAAACTAAAAATTCTCTACAACCCTATAATGATGATTAGTATTTGCTTCCAAGTGAATAGGTTCGAGGAAGAATTTTCGAAGTTAGATTGAGAATTTGAGACCAGTGGAGGTGAACTGTGTCGGCTGTGAGGCAGTTATACACCGAAGACAATGGATAATGTCACATGATACCGTGGATTGATTTAAATGAAACACTAGCAAATGCGGATACTGACTCAGTCGTCAACAATTTAAGTGTCCTCGTGAAAGACCGAAAGTTCTGGGTTCGACTTCCGTTTTCGGGTTCGTGGATGTGCATTACTAGCTAGTCTCTTGCTGAGACGAAACAGCAGTCTAGTGCTTCCAGGTTTCCAACAGTGGTCTCACATTGATCGCTCGATGATTTCAATCAAATATATATTTTTTTAGTTTATTTAGTGTGTGACCAGTTGTGAAGTCAAGAAGATTAGTTTCTGATTTTAGAGTTATGGAGATTATCGTGTTTCACTGAAATTATGAATCAATCATTGTTGAACTATCAATAGATATCTAGGAGGAGCATTGGATGATAGTTTCGTCCTAGTAAGAGACTCATCTGCATTGAGCAACCACCAGTGAGCATTCGATAGCTTCTAGAATCAACCAGTTGTTCATTTCATCTCAGTCTAATAAAAACGATGAGCAATTAGACTCTACTATCTTTTTAAACACACTTAAACTTTACACATTAAAAAAAATCACTGTGAATAATAAACTAAATGAATTAAAGATTTCTGACAAACACTTAAATAAACTTATGTATAAAATCCATATCAAGTTGACACTTACAGTATCTTATTAAGTAAGTAATATTCTTTCACGATGTAATCGATTTGTTTTTACGAAAAGTTTAATCAATACTATAAAATTATAAGACAGTCTAATGTTTGAAAATAACATCCCAATAGTAGATGATTGATGCGACGAATTTTCAGCTTACATAGTCAGTTACTTACTCTGAATTCACCCACAACTTTGTTACAAAATAATAATTATCTACTTAATTATGCCTGCTACCCCAAGTGGAACTTAGGTCGTCGACTAGAACTGTTAAAAAATTAAGTGGTTTTCAGAAGGGGCTTCCGAAAGAACTCGGCTTTCATCATGAGAATTCATAACTCTTCTGAACGAAGACCTATCCAACTGCTAGGGCAGAGTTTAGATGGTTTGAAATATTTTTCCGGTTAGTGTATTTTTAGCGAGTTAGTGTAATTCAGGATAGGGTCGCTAACCCCATGCTGAACCCTCCTCCTGCATCCGGGCTTGGGACCGGCTTTAGCCCGAGATGGGGTCCAATTGGAGTTAAAAAATAATCATAAACAATAAATCAAAAATTGATAATTGACCATTGAAACCAGTTCATATTGTTATTCTGTCTTTATTCCATATCTTATCTTTCTTAATTCAATGGTGTTCAATACAGACGACACATAATGATTTGAAATAACTTGATTGAATCATGTCACGATAAGAAATGAATGCGTTAAAATTAACTGATTATGTGTTAACAGCAAATTTTAATCGAAATCTACTACTTAATTGAACACAATTCTATTAAATGGTACATAAAAATTAAAACAAATTAAACAATGTTCTATTGATTTAAATAACTAAAGAGTTTTGTATTTAAAAATAAATGTCTTTCTATCACGAAAATGTTTAATTTTGTTGTTGTTATTATTAATGCATACAGTGACTTGTCAGTCATTATTTTTATAAAATGTGTACATGTTGACTGTTTTGGTACATTAGTGTTATACTTTTGTCATATACTAATGGAAAGTTATTAAAGTTGTTCACAACTTTCATTTGTTGTTATTTGTTATAAACACGATTTTAAAAAAAAAATTATCGTTTTCATAAATCAATGTCCTTGTGATTTAAAGATATTTTGTTTAAACAACATGCTCAAGTTAAAATAAAACATTTTTTAAAGTTTGTTTTAATAGAATTGTATTGAAACAAGGAGATTTCGATGAAATTTACTATTAAACACACAATCATTCTTTATTATGACATGATTCAATGCGATTATTTTAAATCATTTAGTCTGTTTTTAAACACCACTGAATTATGAACTTAAGATATGGAATTGGTTTCAGTAATCAATGATCAATTTTCAAGTTACTGTTTATTATTATTATTATTTTATGTAGGACAGCTCAGAGAATTGTTAGAATTGAAGACATTTGTCAAGCAAGATTGCCTACTCACACCCTTCCTCTTTCTCCTAGAGATTGACTGATAATGTAAGCGTCAACATCTGAGAGGAAGCATGGCATACAGAATAAAACTAGAATGCAGCTGGGCGATCAAGAATTCGTAGAGGATCGAGCTGTTCTATCGTACACATGAAAACAAATACAGAAGAATACTAACAGTGTAGCATTCCCAGCAGCAGTAGGTCTCAACATACATAAAGGCAAAAGCCAGATTCCCCGACGCAGCACAACATGCGCCAAGTCACACTTGACGGTGAAGCTTTGGAAGATGTAAAATCTTTTACATCTCCAGGCAGCATCATTGATGCCTAAGGTGGATCTGATGAAGATGTAAAGACGTGGATCGGCAAAGTGAGGGCTGCATTTGGAACTCTAAACAACTATCAACAAACTCCAAAGTCAGGATTTTCAAAGCAAATATTAACGGGTGGGAAAGTTGGAGAACTACAAAAGCCATCATGCAGAAGCTTCAATCGTCCACACAAAATACTTCGGACCCGTTTGTCAGCCACCCTCAGCAACAACCTACTGTGGGAGAGAACAGATCAGATTCCAGTGGAGGAGGAAATCAGGAAGAAGCGGTGGAAGTGAAAAAGATACACACTATGAAAAGCACCCAACTACGTCACAAGACAAGCCCATACATTGAACCCCCAAGGTCAAACAAAAAGAGGAAGGTCAAAGAACACATTGCGCCGAGAAATAGAGAAAGATATGAGAAGAATGAACACAAATTTTACAGGAAAGGGAGGCACAGGACAGAGCAGCAGAATACTTGGCCGGTTGCCTATGCTACTTTGTGGGTAACAGGAGTAAATATTTAAGTAATCAGTAATTATTATTTTTCAAAAGAATTGCGAATAAATTAACGGTATGTAATTTATTGTTGATCTGACGATGTTCAATGAAAATATGTCTCATAAATGACCTAAATTTTAGAACGTGTGAAGCTGTATTGTTAACTTTATGTTCTCATTAAAAGTGTAACCAATTGTACAGTTGTCTATGAACTTAACTGGATGAACAGCTAGCTGGACAGAAAATTCAGTTTATTCAAATAAAATATAATTTTATTCCTTTTTAAGGAGAAGTTATACTATTTGTTTTGCTAATATGAGGTGCAATTATTTGGAACAACTATTACAAACGGATATACTCAGTGATGTTAAAATCAGTGATAACTGTTGTTCTATAAAATTGTCACGATTCGCAGAAATAATCTCTCAGTTGTTATCTTCGTATTTTAAACAATCATTTATAGTAGATATCAATGTGCTCAATTCATCCTGTCTGAAACTGTTCTGTTAGATCCACACGCATTCAAATATTGATGAATACATATGGATTCTTATTCAGTCTTCACTACAATTGACGTTGCTGACAGTATCAAACAAACCTATTCAATAAGAAACGTATTTGACAATATGAACTTATCAACTACATTGTTCATTAACAATCATGTACAAATGCAGGACTTCAACCATAATACTATGTCAGCTATCTTTCAATTTATGTTATCTATAATAAATAGCTATCATCCTGTTTCTATTGAGACAAAGGAAACCCAAAGAGCAGAGTATTAATGATTTCTCCTTATATGTATGTATGAGATAATTCAATGATACGTTCCCATGACACTGTATCATATTGAACATAAGATGTAACTGAATTGATTCATTCATTCAGAAAATCGAGTGCTTAATTACTTTTACAATCATAGATGATAAAGAGTATATACCAGTGCATTTCATGACATGTAGATCACATACTTCAAGTTAAAGAAAAAAAACTATCATACCACATGGGTTTGTTAAAAAGATTGAACATTGAACAGACTTTGTCCCTTTGTTAATCTTTGCATTACGAAAATAAAATTTACATGAACACCAAAAAAAAAAAGACGAACACAATGTAAAGCTGAGAGGTAATGCTTTTCTTTTTTTTGCTTCTTCTTGACTAAATGAACTCAATTTGAAAAAAAACAAAACAAAAAAAAAGGATGGCAAACATACAAGAAATTACATTCAGATTAGAATTGATGAAAGAGTAAAACAATGCAAAATACTCAATGAGTTTACTCACAATAACAAAATTAAATATTATGAATGTATTTGTTGCAATGTATGTATGTATGTATATGTGTGTATATTTTACATGATATTATCGAATGTTAGTTAGTACAACATGAATTGTTCTGATTTATTAGTTATCGTGTTTAGTATTTTGTTATTATTGTTATTATGTATACGTAATTAGAAATGTATGCCGCTTTATGTAAAAATGATTATTAGTTATGATCGATTGATAATGTGGTTACAGGTTATTGAGCTGTTTTCCTCTTTATTTGCTTAATAGATTCATCTATGGAAAATAGAGAATGAACAATAAAAAAAAACACAGTTTAAGAGATCAGTAAAAACTAATTACAAATTAATTTTGTCAGTGACAACTAAGTTGTAAATGATTTTTGTGCGGTTCTATTGTCGTGAATGAGAACACAGGTGGGGCAATCGGACTGTATTTAACGAAAATTACAGAGTTACTCAGTAAAATCGGAAAACCATATCGTTAATCGTTAATTTGCAAAATATCAGTCCATCATATCGAACTGGACTGTTCCTGTTGCAAAACATCAATCCATTGTCACTATTCATGCGTTTCATACAAATTCCATTGTGTTGCCACTCTTCCTTTTTTGATCTTCCCCCATCTTCTGCTGCCAGACATTACGTTGACACTCACGTCATATACTACTTATAAGTAGCTCGCACCACACTATTATTTCAAGCTGAATTAATTGATTGTAAAGCTTTTATTGATTTTCCCTAGTAAAATCATACGTAATTAGTGATTTGTAAAAGGAGTCATTCATTTCAATAACAAACAACGTATCAATGTTCAGTAGTCAATTTGTTTTAATCAGAACTCAGCTCATAATTTTTTAAAGTAGTCTGTTCGATGAACATGAATTACTTGTATAAGCATTGTACACAGCCATTGGTTAACATATGTTCAACTAAGAAAATGTTGAACTCTTGAACAGAATGGATACAATTATAAACTTAATAGCCAGCTCAAAATAGAAAAATATGTCAAACAAATATGTCAACTTTGACTTGAAACCAGTCAAAGGTAACTGGTGAAACTTCGATTCGAATAGCTGTTGATGACTTCGTGTGACGAAAAGCTGATAATCGTCAAAATTTGTTGTTTGATTTTGTGACAATCTACATTTCCCCATTAGGTTTAAACCTGCACAATTTTCACATTTTTGAAGCGTTTTTTTCAATTTAATTATTCGAAGTTATCAATTTCACCTTCATGCTTTTATCAAAACTTAGGTTACGTCAGTTTTGGAAGTTCTTCATCATACTTCCTCTTAGTGATGACCAGTTACTTAACAACATTTCTAAATCATAGAAAATGTTTCAGAAATTCTTAAGAATCAAAATTCTTTAGATGGCTTTACGCAAACTTCTTAACTTCATTGTTTTTTATCATCAATGTAAATCGATAGGAGTCACAGTGCTGAATAAAATTCTGAGAAATTTCAACAGTTATTGAGAGCTCTAACGCTTTTTGAGTATTTGAAAATGCATCATTAGCCTAGCTTAAGTAGTTATGAGACAGAGCATATAACACACGTATAAGTCCTTTATCTGAGAGGGTTGCATACAATCAAGTACACCTTATAATTATGAGATTCATTCTAAATGACACTCCAAAATACAATATATCTTCGATCTTGAGAATCATGGTACTCTTTTTGTTTAAGTTCTAATCAACATCTCACAGATTAACAGCATAAGGTATTGACAATAAAGTATTTGGACAGCTATTGATCCATGGTGGAAATGAAATATCTTTTCTTTCTTCTTCTTCTTTACGACTGTTACCCCCAATGAAGGATAGGCCACCGACCAGTTTCCTCCAACCAACTCTCTCCTGCGCTTCTCTGTCCAGTTCTTTCCTATTTTTGTTCATTTTCCACACGTCTTTCTCTATTTCTCGGCGTAATTTGTTCCTTCGCCTTCCTCTTTTCCTTTAACCTTGAGGATTTCAAGTGAGGGCTTGTCTTGTGACGCAGTTGAGTGCTTTTCATAGTGTGTGTCCTATCCACTTCCACCGCTTCTTCCTGATTTCCTCCTCCACTGGAATCTGTTTTGTTCTCACTCACAGCAGGTTGTTGCTGATGGTATCTGGCCAACGAATCCGAAGTATTTTGCGAAGACAACTGTTAATATATACTTGTATTTTCTAGATGATGGCTTTCGTAGTTCTCCGTGTTTCTGCCCCATACAGTAAAACAGTACTGACATTTGTATTGAAAATTCTGATTTTGGTGTTGAGTGATGATATTAGTTGGGAGTGGAATGAAATATATTCCTTTACAAGTCAGTATATAAAGACAGATCAATATATACTTTTTGTAGTTCTAAAGTTGACTGTCACAAAAATAGAATTTCTTGACAATGGCCTACAACTCATTAACATCTAAACACAGAACTTGAACTATCTATCCAGTCTGACTATCAGGCACACAAACAGTTAGTTATTAAACTTAAACCAAATAAAAATCACTTTAAACACTTGAAATACAAGAATAAGATATGAAATAACTGTTAAAGTGAATACTACTAAATTTCTGAAGGCGAAATGATGTATTCAGAAAAAAAACACCATCGCTGTTACTTTATCTTGTGTGTGACAGAAAAGGTAAATTTCATAGATTGTCTTATTCTTATTAATATTGTGAAATCAAATCACTAAAACAATTGTTATTTAGTTCTAGTAAAAAAAATTTTTATTTACTCAGTTGCTTAAACTTCTGCAAATTCTGCCACTTATGATTAAACAACTGATCTTACAAAATATCCCTGTTTGTTTATATGGTCGTGTTTAAATGTTCGATTAAGTGGGTGCGTGTTGTAAGCCGATAAGTGGTATTCAAACTTCTTATCTTCAGCACGAAGTTCTAATGTTTTTTGTACTTTTTATCCAGTACATCGTGGTATGCTTTAATGATTTATTCGTAGTAGATAGATTTGGTAAACTTTCGGGTAGATGAAATGTAACTTGTCGATTAAAACTACTACTCTCTTATGTGTTGCAGTCAACTGTTAAATGACAAATAAAATGGCCAAACTTGTGAGATACATATCTTTCTCCAAAGTAGACCCTAAATATATCAATTTGAAATAAAGCATCATAGTGTTGATTAATAAAAGACAACTATATGTTTTATGTAATTCCATGTACATAAATTCATGAGCCATCTGGCTGTCAGAACGGGTATCGAACTTGTGACCTCTGAACCAACTCAGCTTACATCATAAGACGTCATAACTCGTCTAAATGAAGGCCTTCTAACTCCCAGAGCAGAGTTTAAATGGTTTAAAAATTATTTTTTTTCTGGCTAGAGCTGTATTTTAGCTAGTTGATTTCCTACAGGATGGGGTCGCTAACCCCACGCCTAACGCTCCTCCTCGTATCCGGGTTTGGTACCGGCAGTAGCCCAAGTGAGGTTCCAGGCAGAGTAATATTATAGTATAATCTTTATCAATGTGAACACCACTGTGTGCTGTTGAAATAAATCTGCAAAATGAATATTTAATTTACATGATTCAACTGAAATTGATCCTTTTCCTTAAATTTAAATATATTTACATATCTATTAGTTGACATATTGCATGTACTGGTTGTTGCGTTAGATTAAAAATCAAACATTCTCCAATTTACATCATCTGTTTAATGAATTATTGAAAATTGAATTAAAGTGAAATCAACAGCAACAACAACAACAACTAATATTTTTGTAATGAATAAAATAATTTTGGAAGCATAATTTTAGTTAACAAGAAAAGAAAAACAACATTGTTTGGGTGTTTTTCTTTTTGAATTGATAAGAAAAACAATTTCACTGAGATTGGCTTTTTTGAGCTTAAGATATTTTATACTGAAAGTATTTCTGGAGAGAAATAAAATACAGGTACAGTAATCTTAAGAAAATTTCAGTTTTCATCGGATTCTATGATATTGTTTAATTGGGTAATTAGGTGATAAACGTTTCATGAGATCGGTGGTTCCTTTGCATTGAGGTCTCCCATCAGAATGGTCAAGTCTATTGCTGATCATTTTTTGACGACTGGCTGCAGTAGAAGGCTGCTGTAGTAGAATTGATCTTAGTCGCCATCGTTGTTATCGTTGATAGGTGCATAACACTAGATAACATTCGTCTTAATGCCTTCTTTCTCTCTCTTTAAGGATGCTTTAATGATCCTGGTTCCATGAGATATCCATCCGATAAATGTCTTTTGTATCTGTTTGGAGAGTAGTAGTGCAATTCCTTGAGTATATGAAGCATCCACTTCTTCATGACTGAAATAAAACAGCATATTGACTGAAGCTACTCTTTTTTGACCAATCTGTGTTCAGTGTGTTTCACTTAATCCAAGCACCATCAGATTATATCTTCTCACTTTTTCAGCAAATCGAATAGTTCTCTTGGTATCCGAGATTGTGCAAAATTCTATCTACCTATTTTGATTGTTGCTCATAAGGTGTATCGGCCACATGACTTTCGGCTTTCATCATTAGGTATCATAATTTTTGTGACTGAAGACCTCTAAACTTTCAGATCACAGTTTTAATAGTCTTCTACGGGATGCAGTCACGAACCCGATGCCCAACTTTCCTTATCTATTTGGGTTTGTTACCGGTAGTAATCCTGCTACTAAATCTACTGGACTATCCTCATCTTCTGATCGCCAAATGGATGTCTCGTCTACGTCACAAGCAGCACTAGGGAACTAAGTAATGTTTCATCGGACGAACAAACAACTATGGAATAATTTATTCGAGTAATTTTTTAGTTAGATTCGTTGGTTGGTCAATTAAATTTTGTCTATCAAGGAAGATAATTTCGTAAACCAACAGAATAAGTATTGTTGTAAGGGATTAAGCTAATTTACACTGTATTGAATAAAATATACCCCCGACTAGAATTTTGTAAACTTTGTTGAGATCGGTTTGATTCATTTAACTGCTGCACATACGCATTTAATTTAAGTGAATTTTTATGAACGATCTATGTGCATTCTACGTTATTGAGTACTGGTTCTAACTTCCTAACCTATACATCAACAGGGTGACGCTAACATTAGGGAAACAAATTGACAAAGACTATTTTCAGGCGCCAGAATCAAAAAGTACGTGGATGTCATCAGCTCTTTCCAAAAGTGTTATCAAACCTGCTATTTCATGACACTAGTTTATTAGAGATGAAAGCTTTTTTTCGTCTTGACCAACTGGTTTGTATTATACCTTATGATGAGCTTATTATTGATCAGTTCAAAAGCTCACTTGTCACTGATTCACCCCCTTGAAGAATACTGTTTATCGTGAAACTAAGTTCAGGAATTTCTTGATCTCTGCCTCAAACATTTACAAACAGAATAGAGGATTTTGATTCACTTAGACTAGTAGGTACAATGCGAATACAAGCAAAAATTCGATTAAAACTAGGGATTAGATAAACGCGGCTCATCAAAATCTCAAATATCCAGAATCAGTGTCAATAACAGTGGTTCAGACTTTTTATTTCACAGAAATGATCGGTTGCGTCATCCAGGTAAACCCTATTATGTAAAACTGTCTAAAAACTATGTTAAAATTGAAATGCTGTAATAATAGTATACGATACATTATGTTGATACATTGAGATGGGTTTCTATTCATTTATTAAACACACACATGCCAACTGTATTGTTGATCTAATGACGATAAAAGTCTTAAACCCTCAATATCCTCATTAAATTAAAACATATAATTTTATCAAAATAGGAATACGCACGTTTATGAGTGTCATTGGATTTATGAATCAATCGATGTTAGACCGCTAGTAAAAACCTGAAGGCACTTAACGACTGTTCTCTCCCATATGGGACTTCTCAACAGTGTACATCCACCATCTCTTACACAAGAGTTTCGTCCATCCATGATATTGCATGAACACATGTATTATCTTGAGAGGAGAACTGCCGGACACTCAATAAGGTTGTACTCTACAATAATATGGACTGGTTAGAGTTTGGCAGTGAAACCGTTAAATACTGACTCAGTTGTCCTGAGTTTAGGTATTTGTATGCAAAAGGTCTTGAGTTCCATTCTTGGACGAAACTTTTGTCTAGTGCTTCTAGGTTTTAAACTGTGGTATAACTTACATAAAAAATCAATAATCTCTATAATGGCCTATTGATATTCCTATGATACAGGTTTTTATCCATGGATTGTTTCCCAAACATCTTATCGGTCATCATATTCCAATTTTATTATCATTTATCTGGAAAAAAGTTTAGTACTGTTGCATGTTTCAGTTATGATTTATATTTGTTTCAAATCATGTGCACTTCATTTCGAATGTTGTTTTAAACAAAAGTAATGCAATTTAGGTGTTTATAAAATAAACAAAACAGATTTTCGAATATTCTTTCAGAATATGTCAAAAATTAATTATCAAACGGTCAATAATAGATTAAACATGAAGCGTCAACCCTAATGTTCCAAGAAGGAATTAAGCTGACCATTTCAAATGAAATATGTCTCATGAAAAACATGGCAGTATTCAATATTCAATAAAGTCAAATTTCAATGAAATCATCGTTCTTTAATTGTACAAAGATAACACGAAGATAATGAGTTTGTTTAATAATTAAATTTGTGAAATGCGGTTTAAATCGATTAGAACTAAATAAGAGTTGATTTGTGAAAATTAACATTAAAAGTTAGTGTCCGAAGAACCTGTCAGACTATGAATCTGGCCAATATGTTTTTTGAATTGGAAGAATGAAACCTATTACAATTCACTTCGAATGACAATGAGTTATCTAAAGAGTTATTCATTATCAGTGCAAACATCTAAGTGGGCTGCTCCGAGTGATAATTGTGAGATAGGATGAAACGTCTAATGCGGAATTAAATACCAGTCAGTTTCCAACTTACATATATAAAATTTGCGACTAAATGACGATATTAAAATGATTCCTCTCACGATATAAGTATACCAATTTCAGTTCTTTGTTATAACGAGCGAATTGAATGAAAATGAAATTAAAAACAATAATAGCACTTACCACAGAATCGCCAATTGCTATCAGACTCGATCTTCTTGATGCATGACGTCCGACGTTTAGTTCGTTACCCAGTTTCTATTTCAGGAATACAAAAAACAATATAATGTCTACAGAAGAAAAAATAATCTTTTGTACAATGTAAAATATGTTGTTATGTTAAAGTTGCCTGATATACACTGAATACTGCTCATTTTAATATTTATAACGACAACAATTAAACTGCATTTTTTAAAATTGAATTTGTGTTAGTTGTTTGAATTTTCTCATCGATTTAAACAAATTCAGTTGATCAGTCTCTTTCAAATATATCCATTCTCTGCGGTGTGCTGGGGTCTGGTTACAAGTATTATTAGCAACAGTTGATACTGACTAACAATGGAATTCACGAAGCGCGTTTTGTCCTATTCGGGATTCGTCAGCTTGGTTTACTTGCGTTTCAGAGTTTCTATTCACTTCAAGACTCAAACCTTAAGCTTCAAACGTCATCGTGTTATCCACGTAGCTACTGAGTCCAAATAGCCACTCGCTTGTTCAGGTTTATCCAGCTGACGAGTTCAGAAAAGGACGAAACGATAGTCCTGGATTTTTTGATTTTGACCTATTCGGCCTCGTGTGCTGTGCCGCCCTCGTGTATGAGGGCGTTTGTCGCTTCCCGGCTGCCCGCACAGTGGAAGGTTGTTTCTTGAGGAACCTGAAAAGGAAGGTAGATTAGTGTTGGTCTGAACGACCTGCGAGCGTGACTGCAGAGCCCAACGGATAACTGCTTGAGGCCAGTCACGCACGGCCTTTTTATGAAATGTTTTTTGAGTATTAGCTCCGCTCTTCAAAGCCCTTAGTGGGCGCCCTTACGGACGGAGACGGAAATCCGTCAGGTAGGGTGAGGTGTGACATTTTTAGGGTCGAACTTTTTAACCCTTCCTTCATTGTGAGAAGGCAGCATCGCTGCAGATGCTGGTTGTCCGAGGAAAACACCTTACTGCTGGCACACCCCTCTACAGTCAGCAACACGACTTCGCCCTCAGACCTTGAGTAGCTGCTTTTCGTCTCATCGTTCTCCAATCGAACTGCCTCGCATGGTAGAACCTTCTGGAACATAAGTTTCAGCCAATATAACTCGGTTGGGTCATTACGGTAGGCATGTCGGACCACCACGTCAAGTTAGCAGCTTCGGTCGGGATTCTTTGCATGTAAGCGTTTAAATGGCTTTACTATCATAGTATAACTGAAACTGAATGGTTGCCTAAACGATCAATAATAGCAATTCACTCAAACCATTTAGTTGATACAGTCAATTATTCTCTTACAGACTGATAAATTTTCCTTATTATATTCAAACCTTAAAACAATAAACTCAACCATCTATCTATTAAAAGCGTATTTGATAATTTATTCAGTTTACTGATGCATAAATAAATTAAGTTATTTATTGATGAGTTTTAAGTGTGTCAGAAGAATTATAAAATTGATTTAAACAAATCGGATTGATCATCGAATGCAGTGTGTAAAAACTAATGAAAATTGTCTTTTAGTTAAATAATATTTACCTTAACTCGTCAACAATAATGGGTTTTTGTTTACTGAACATAATATCCAATCAAAACTAGAACATAATTCAATTCGATGGCGAACAAAAAAGCCTTCTCAGAAAAGTTCTTTTTTTATTTTAATTCTGAACAGAAAAACAAAACTATCAGCCAAAAACAAAAAACCGCCAAACAGTTGGACACATTGAATGGACAGAATACAGTCACATGAACCGTGATAACAAGTGGTATAATATGTAAATATCAATTTTGTCTATCAGTAATTATTTATCTTCATTTTGTATATGTATATATATATCCGGTCAACAATAAAGTCAATTTATTATTCTTCTTGTTTTTATCATTAGTTAGAATGCCTAAATGAGCATAACATTTTCTAAAAATACATACATTAGTTTATTTATTCAATTTTTGTGTCATGTCAGACAAAACAAATTTTATCAGTGATTATCTATCAAACTGACCAATCTATTCCTTAACTTGGTGGTCTTTTTTTTTATAATCAACAGGTCGGATCTACAAAGACATACTAATATTGTTTTGCCCTGTTATTACAATTACACCAAATGACGCAAATTTACATAGTAAGCATGATTAAACAATGAATAGTTGAACATTCAGTTGTTTTCTACATGTCGCTCATTTTCAACAGATTCAGAAGGTAGTAAGTTTGACCCATAGTGAGGTTTTATACCAAAAAGAGAAAGATTTCACTGTGTTTCCTGGTTTTTAGTGATTATTTGATTTAGGTTGATCCGCGATTTATACGTGCCTGATGAATGAGCATCTCAATCTTTTCCGCTTAAAATAAAACACATTTTTTAAGCTTTTCATTCATGTAGTTGTGATTCTATTGTGAGAATTTGTTTGCTTTGTCGGTGTCCATTTTGACAAACTGACATCAGTTAGGATATCATTGGAAATCGAAAGGCGGCGAAATAAGTGTTCATTATAGGGTTTTGAAGATTGTTGACTTTCGTTGAAATCATGAACTGATCAATGTTCTACCCTGTTGACAGGGAGGCAGTGTTTACTGAATTTCTGAGAACTTGAGATCCCCAGAACTCACTTGGTAAAGGTCCTGGATTTCTTATGTTTTGGCGCACTAGTTGTTTAGTTGACTGTTATTGGTTGATGGCTTATTTTAGTGCGCTGTTTTGTGGCTCAATTTGTGTACTTGTCGATGTCGTATCTTCTGAGTGCTTGTAGAATACACTTTCTACGCCATATCAAGACTTCTTGCTATAGTTAGCCTTGCTGGGAACAAACGGATTAGAATAGCCTGTCGTATCACTGCATCACTTTTCTTCGCTGCGTTTTTCGAGTTAGGTGAACTCGTAATATTTCACGCATACCACGAAGACTATAGATAAGGTCGCTCAATACCATGGATTGGTCAAAGTTATACATTAACACTGTTGGATGTTGGTTCAGTGATTTAAAGTTTAGGTGTTCGCGCATGAGACCGAAGATCCTGGATTCGTTTCTCGTGAACGGGAATCATGGATGCGCACTGCTGATGAGCCCCCTATGTGGACGAAACAGCTGTCCAGTAACTTTAGGTTTCTGTTGATGGTCTTACATTGATCGAATCATGATTTTGACAGAATAAATGTCCGGTTTTAATATGAGTAGTGTGAGCTCATGACTTTTCCTGAGACAAAACAGTAAATTTTCAGGTCACATGATCAGCGATTTACTAATACACAACCGAGTTAGAACTTCATGCATAAAATTTCTTATTTCATTCAATTCTCAATAAAGCGTGATGATTACCTATTATGACCGTCGAGGATTGCTTTGTTGAATAGGCTAACAAACTCTGTTATTTAGGTTATCTCAATAAAAACAACAGAAACCCTTCTGAAAACAAATTTATTTACAGGACAGCAGACAATTGTATTTTTTGTTGAAATGTTCACATTTATCAAAACAACTCTTTGATCGTTGTCATTCGGTGGTAACATAAACCGCTAACAATATTATTCGATTAACAGTTGTATGCATTTTTATAATAATCAGTAAAATAAAATAATTATTTTTTTTCATATTTTGAAAACATTGTATCATATACTGTACGCACATTTCAATCAAATAACTTACAGAATTTGAAGTAATTTGTTTTACAGGTTCATTGACCTGTGAAGAAGTCTGATTTAACTTTGTCTGTATATTTGACGTACGTAGAAATGGTCCTTCGCATACTTGAGCAGTGAGTAAGTTTTTCTCTTCAGAATTCAATAGACCACGTGATTTAGGCTGAGTAAACCAATTTGTATTACGATCAGCGGTATCCGGTAATGATTGATCACTGCTACGTCTAGATAAATTCTCATTCATTTTGTCGTTTTGTACAGGTGATTTATTATTTTGTTCTTGACGTTGTGCATCACAACTATGCCTACGTAGTTTTGATACACTTGGTAGTTGTAAACCTAGAAATGAAATTGACGATGTGCAGTTGGTGTTTTTATCTGATAAATTTGTGTCACTTGTTGGTTTATCAAAGCGTAAATCACTATTCTGTGGAGGAAGCTGAAACAACAACAAAAAAAAAATATACGGAAATAAAATTAGTTAGTAGTATTTGGAGCCATGTGAAAATGCATTGGGAAAATCAGGATTATATTAGTAGTAGTATCAATTGAAACTTGAGTTTTGGAAGAAATAAAAACTACCGACTTTAAAATGTACTTCTTTTCCGGTGCAAATATTTTATTGGTCTACGTCAAAAACAGAAATGAATAAGTATCTTATTTAGAAATAATCTTTTAATGAGCTTCATAGGTTAAGGGGGAAGCGTCCAAAGACAAGCTCTCAGTTGAACTTATTAAGGCCAAAGGAAAAAAGGAAGGTCAAGCAACACATTTCACAGAGAATTGTAAGCGAACACGAAAAGAATGAACAACAATTAGGTAGAGCTGGAGAAGAAGGCCCAGGAGAGAGCGGGTTGGAGAATGCTTGTCGGCGGCCTATGCACCAGTGAGGGGAACAAGTGTAATTAATTATTCAGTTAAGTAAGTAAGATCCTTACGATATTTATTCATATTCTCTCTAACTCTCGATTGTATTGCTCGATTACACCTTCCTATGTAATCGTGTTCACGTAAACATGTCAATTAGTAAACACAGTAGGATCTGAAATATTTGTTTCCACAAATATGGTTTTATGTGAAACCATACGCTTAGTTTTATCAGTCACAATCAAAATACCAGTGCTGAATGCCTTCTTGATGGCTACTTTCAGCCTTCATCTGAAAAGTATGCTTTTCAACTTTCCTCTCAAATGGTAAAGAGATATAAACTATTTTCTTAGGAGCAGACTTTAAAAGTGGGTTTTCATATCAACTGACTTCTATACCTATTTTCATTAGGGACACTCTGTTAAAGCGATAGTTTATAAAACCCTATTTTTGGTGCAGATAACATAAACCTTGGTATATACGTAAAAATGATTAGACACACATAAAGGCAAGGGGATGATACTTATTTGTCCACATTTGACAGTTTCAAAATTCAATTTTTTTCATGGAATAAGAAGACTAATTCGACAGATGGATACATCGTTTCTTGTTATTTCAACCTTAATCAAATTATTGTTGTCAGTCTGAATAAAATTTCTTAATAAAATGTTAATAATGAAAGGATTTTTTTAATAATCTAAATAAATTTACGTTTACTCATTTCAATTTATGTTAAAAATACAAATTATTTTGGAATATTATTTGTCTTAAAAAGAACATAAGAAAAAGAAAAGTAACTAAAATATGAAAACGTAGAAATTACATTGAATCACGTATCAATCATGTGTTTTAAACAAATAGATTTACTATTCAAGACCAACTGAACGAAACATCATGGATCCTACAGTTTATGTACAATTCAAATTCTGAATAACTTGTAACTTATGACATTCAGCAGTAGGAGTTTTTTTCAAGTGAGTATCACATGAATTTCTAGAGTGTCTATGTGCTCAGTGATGATTACGTAACTTGTCTTTTACTGGTTTTAATAATTTTCAAAATTCAATATTTTTAACTTACTGGACAGATAACATGTGCACTTGCTCGTCTTGTAATATTTGCACCAGTTTCTAATTCTTTAATTTGATTCGGGTGTAACATTGGTACAAAGGAAACAGCAGCTCGTGTAATAGATTTTCGTGCTAGGTAAACAAGATGGAAAATTCATTCAGTTTGAGAATAACATGGAATTTAGTAGAATTGTGCCTCAACTCAACTCTACTTATTACGTTATTAATATTGCGAAATGAAGTGAACAAATTGAATGTAGTGGCCACGATAATTTGTAAAAAATCAATAACAAGATCACATAACACGAGAAAATATACTGAAATAGTGATATGTTTGCAAGAAATAATAAAACACAGGACCGAGAGGAAGATAACAAGTGAACGAATCTGCGGCACTTTGACCGACTTCAAGTTATGTGAGACGTGACATAATCACTTTTCTATTTACCACTTAGCTGCTGAATCAAAATTGCTCCTAACACATTCAACGGGTACAAACGTATACTTTCAGTCACAATTATTAAGTATTTTAAGAATTGTTATTGAACATATGAAAGCAAGGAGGGACCAGACTAACAATACAAATGAATATTAGATTAATTAGCCTTTATGAATGACAGAATTGAGAAGTAGTTAATAGATTTCTACATTCAATAATTGTCTGTATACAGACAATATAGGAAAAAACTGTATTCGATGAATGTTATTGCATGGAAACATATTCATTTCATATTATAAGATTTGATCGACTAAAGTTAAGATGCCGCATGGATTTTGATTCTGCGACAACAATAGTCTGAAGATAATGTGTTCAACGCCACTCGGGAATGTTTTGTGTTGAGAAGCAGTTGATGAAGTCATTAGTGCAAATGTTAACCGGTAGTCTGATCGTTAAGCTCTTAGATCAAAACGAAAAATTCCTAATTTTGATCCATGGTTATGTCGTGGATGTTCACTGATGAGACGTTCCATACTGTGACGAGACAAATGTCGAAAAATGATAGTTTTCAGTGGACTTTCAACTAAAATCTGTCACTGATATCAACTACTTGCAGTCTAGAAAGCCTTTTTCACCAAAGTACAAAAACCTTAACCTCATTCATAGGTTAACTATTTTATTCACATGGCTTTCTTTTAAAAACGTAATTAGTTTTATGTCATGCATTGTACAACTGTGTAACGTCTATAATTTCAAAATACTCAGTATAAGCTGCTTGCAATAATTAGGTTCGATGTAATTTTACACATTGATTTGTATATTGATTAGGTCATTTCATGAAATTGTCATTTTTCTTCTACTAAAGATTATTTATTTACTTTCTTAATAACTATAATTTCCAATGTATTGGATCAAAATATGACAGTTAACCTTGCAAATCATAAAAATTTCTCTTGCAATTAAATATATATACGTATACAGTAGATTTAAATAACCAAATCGCTTGAATCTTCAACCCTTATCACGTGTGTTTTCTCCAAGCTTGAAGCTCAACTTTCATAACCTTATTGTTGCATAACACTGATTTATTTTGATGCAGTATCTAAAAACATATACAGTTGTGGTTGCCTATTTCAGCCAAAATGAGAGTTACAAGCAGAAATCATTTACTGTTTCCATTTTGTTGGTAAAAATTTATCAGCTACAATTACCTTAGATCCAAGTTTTTCTTTTCCCGTTTTTATTATTCCAGATGTCAACTCATTTTATTCTATACTGACAATAGTATTTACTAATCAGAACATGTTTAAATTTTCAAGGTCATTCCTTGATTTTCATATAGCCTTGAGTACATTTATACTAAAATGTCTATAACGTTTTCTATGTTTTACGTAACGCTACTACTTTCGTTGTATTCTCTTGGGTTATTAAAACTAGTAGTTTAGTGAGTACTGACAACATTTAAGGTTGCGATTGCAGGTATTTAAGAACTGGCTTTAATAAACAAACTAGTCGTTTGAATTAACCACTTTTTAGGAATATTCATTAAGCTGATTCAGATAATGTGCTGTTTCAGTTAATGGAAACTTCAGCTGAATTGAAATGTTTAATTTGATGCTGAAAATCATACTGATTTATTCAGCTTTTTCAATATTTGTTTTATTGTAAATGATAGGATGCTTTGCTGTTAGATAAACTAGTCTCGGTAGCATTATGGTGAATAGCTGAGTTTCCCGACTTTAGACAGCCACATAGACATACGTATATATAAATATGTACAAAAATGACGTGATTTCGGCTCAAATACATATCCGAAGTTTGTGTTGATGATGTTGTAGCTCCACAACCGAAAGATCCAGCTCAGAGAACGAAACACCACCACAAAGAAATATATTTTTGTTCTTTTTTCCTACTTTGCTTGACTCATCGGTTAGGTTTGTAATAAAATATTTTCAAAAAAGTTTGATTTAAAATAAACTCTAAAGGATGCACTACATTTTATAAAACGCTAGTTTTATAAACACCTAAATTTACAAGTAATCTTAATACAATGATGCTTTATTATACGTTGATAGTTATCGACGAATAATTTATTTGATGCTGGTAGTGTACTGATATTATGAGATGATGGTTCGATATTGCAAATAAATTGAGGAATGAAATATCAACAACAAAAATACCGATTGATTGCCCTGAAATTTCAGTGCTCACCACCAGACGTGTAGGTTTTTATCGATACCTGGAGTGATTGAGAATGAAAAGGATTTGAAGGGAAGACTCTCTGAAACATAGTTGAATTGTGAAGCTATTATGTTTTGCAATGTCAAACAGAAACTAGCGTTCAAAAACATATTCCTTTAGCGATGAAAATCAGTTCTTTCAAATGATGCTTGTTTTATAATCAGACTGTGTTATACGCAGTTGGCTATGCTTATCCCTGTTGAGCTGTCACTATATCAACGATTGATCGGTTCTATATGAATCAAACAAATAAATCTGTGCCAATGTATCTTTTGATTACGACCTGTAAACTTCAGTGCAATTCTGATGTATTCTCAGATTCCCCTCGTTCATCAATCCCAACATTTTCCCAGTCAACTTTTTATTGGTAGTTGTTTGTGTGAACTGATCAGAATAATAGCCTACTTTTTCACTGCTAATTCAAGTTCTTGTTAAAAGAACAAAGGTCAGTCATGTTGAATAGATTTTTTGTTTGTGATTTCGACAAACAGGTTACTTTTATTTCTATTGTAAATCGATTCATTTGAATTTACCGTGACACCTTACGGTTCAATGATCATTTATGTCATTGATTTTATTTAATTATCTCTAACCTTTAAAGAGAAATGATCTATTTGAACTGACTAACCGTTCGTTCTGCTTATAACAACACAACGTCTTTAAAATCTTTCAAATTAAAAGCTGTGGTCATTTCTCTTGTTCTTCAGTGAATAATCGATACTGATTATGCCAGGAAAATTGAAATTTAAAACAGCTATCTATTGGAAAAAGAGAGTTACTTAAAATCGTCAGACATTTCGGTTCATGTTATTTTGATGGGCAACCCCGCCTGTAACCCTTCCAGGGTTACTGCAATTCCCAAGCCCCGAAAAAGGAGGAGTGTTGAGCATCGGGTTAGCGACCCTACCTTTAAAAATCCAACTCGCAACAAAAATGCTAGCGAGAAAAATAACTCGCTGGTCGGCAGCCTATGCTCCATTAGGGGTAATTAGCGTAAGTATGTAAGTAAATATTTCAACTGGCAAATACATCACTTAAAAATATTTTTGATAAATAATTTAACTAGTCTTCTCGTTATTTTTACTATGAAAATGTTGTGTTTATTCTTTCTTTAGCCCAGTTTTATTCACATAATCTTGCATTTATTCAGCTGGTAAGATATAATGATTTATTTTTGGGAAAGAATCACCTTTTTTCTCTCACTAAAAACATTTACATAGTATATATATATATATATATATATATATATATATATATATATATATATATATATATATATATATATATATATATAGTGACTGACTTTGATGCAGTTAGTGAATTGAAATATCTAATGCCTAGAAGGTAAAAATAAGGAACTTAATTATTATGTAAATAGATTTTCATTTTGCTTATTGTAAACAAATTATCATTAGGCTTGGCAATCATAAATATAAAACCTAGACTTAACTAATAGTATGAGTTTGTTATTGTCTATTGTATTCTAGTAGTATACTTTACTCAAACTACTTCTTAATTGTACCCCAAATGTTTGAAGAAACGTTTTCTTTAATCAGAACGAAACAAATATTCGTTCGTGAATTGACGGTACTATTGTGGTGCGCGCTACTTATAAGTAGTATATGACGTGAGTGTCAACGTAATGTCTGGCAGCAGAAGATGGGGGAAGATCAAGAAAGGAAGAGTTAGAACACAATGGAATTTGTATGCAACACATGAATAGTGACAATGGATTGATGTTTTGCAACAGGAGCAGTCCAGTTCGATATGATGGACTGATATTTTGCAAATTAACGATTTACGATATGGTTTTGCGATTTTACTGAGTAACTCTGTAATTTTCGTTTAATACAATCCGGTCGCCCCACCTGTGTTCTCCTTCACTACACTATTACTGTAAAAAGTCGGTTTTATTATATATTTGAACTATTTTGGTCATTTGGTAAAGTAAATGGTTTTTCTGTATGCTAAGCACATATTGATAAATCGATTCGAAAGACTATAAACGTTTTCTTACACTGTACTTTCGTAATGATGTCTGGATTTCCTTCTTTGCGGTTTTTAGAAACATGAGATGATCGCAATCAAAGAGCACTTGTCCAAGCAACAGATAATGCATCGGAAACTGACGTCTAAGGGATTTAATATAGCATGCATTATGTTACAGTGAAAGGTTGGTTGAAGAAATCTACTAGAAATTTTGAATCTATATTTTGTACTTGTCAGTAATTGATAACAAAACTTACTTTCAGTCAATAGAGACACTGTATTGTATCAAAGATTCAGACTACTAAACGTTGTAGTCATCACTGAGCTTATCACTTTTCAAACACTTTATAAAGATATTATCGTCCAAATAATTATTTTTGAGAATTTTTTCACCGTAACTAGACAGATGAGTTTGAATAAATTGGTCAAAGTAGTATTAAGAGAGAAGGTTAGTTGATTTCGAACTAATTAGGCTATGAACAGTCACGATTCAATGTTGGTAGTAAATTATACTAGTTTTAGTGATAAAAAGAGATGAAAACCTTTACAAAGAGCAAATGATACAACCAGAGTTAAACACTTAGTTTAATAACTTATGTAACATACAGAAAAAGGTTTTAACCTACACATAGGTGTTTACTGGACATTAATTCATTACTTTAGACGTAAATGACATGCTGTAAGGATACGCTTAACAATCTAACAGTACTGAAATGCATTTTTCATTAAAATGTTTGGCATGGGGTTAGCAACTACATAACGTAGAAATCCAACTGACCAAGGAAACACTAACCAGAAAAAATGCTTCACTGATAGGCGGCTTGTGCTCCATCAGGGCTAACAGGTGTAAGTAAGTAAGTAAGTAAGTACTCAACAACATCATTATAGCATTCCTAGTGAATAATGTCCCTATAGTGTTTGATGTCATTCACCTTAGGGCCCATACCTTTCTTGCTTTATCTGTACAAACCTACTTATAATAAATGTATTATTTTATTCCTATCAATTTCTATCTGGTTATATTTTTATGTTAATTTTTGATAATTTTAAATAAACTATATTTTTACCCTTGAGATATTGAAAAAAGATTTGTAAATAAGTTTAGTGAAGTTTCATTCTTTGAGCTGCATTATTAATTATCAAGGTTTTCATCTTCCTTCTGGACAACGCAGAATTTCTATGTTATTCGCCCACTTTCTATCATGGTATGTACTTTGACAGTATAAATCGATTTTAAATGCGCTATTGGTTTTCGTAAACCAAATGACTTATGTCTGATTCGGACGAAGGAAGCTGATACGGCTTTTTTCACTATTATTGTGCAATCAGCTCAGCTGATGTGTAGAATATGAGATCATCATCGTGATCACCTACTGAAGTTAACAATGAACTGGAGCAACATTGAAGCAATCACTTTGAAGTTTCATTATGTAAGTTATATGGATTAGTCTAGGAAATAGTTTCAGTGCATTTTTATTTAAATCAACTAGAATTTTAATAAAAATTATAATATTTAGGAAAAAAACAAACAAAGAATTAAACTTACGACCCATTTTCATGTCGTCACTGAAAACAAAGAACATATATACCGGTTTTATTGAATATATATTTCACGTAGTACAATACAATACAATCGAAACATACAAGGTTGACTACAAGTTTGAACATTGAAAATTGAATGAAAAAGTACCAAGTTTACTTTGTTTAACACAAGTGTCTTATTTTGAGCGTACTTAATGTATCTAATGAAAAAGTAAGTTGTGTTCACAAACACATGATTTTGAAAAATCTCAGAGTAATTTTTTATCGGATATTCAAAACATTCACGAATATTCCTCGAAGTTTCTAGATGTTCTCAAACTGTATTTTCTTACACAACGGAATGCATAGTGGAGTGATTTGAACCGAAAACTAACTATCATTCTGCTCATCAATAATCGTGTAGAAGGTATACAGGGGAAACTAAATACACAACATTCTCACCAACAAAGTTGATCGGAAACTGTATTAGCTTACATCATTTATATAGCCCTAATTGCTCTCTAAAAAAGTGCTCTGTGAGAACCCACTATAAATGCAACCAAAAACCTTTGGATTAAAGCTAGCTGACTATATAAATCATTTACATTTCAGAATGTAATCCAACAGTAAGCAAATAAGATGAAGTCATTGTTTAAGGATTCCAGGTTCGAATAATTTAATCAGCTGTCATTATTGTTGAACACATAAGTGATTTATAGGTCATAGATAATACAAAGCATTATTCTACAGTATTTTCACTTAGTGTCTAGATACTAATCACTTCATTAATACTTGTTTGATAATATTGAATCAGTACCTTAATGAGAAAATTTTTGCGATTAGTGTCGATTAAGTTGTTTATTTATGTTCCCATCTCATCGTCACAGAAGACTACTCACAATTTAAATACTCAACAATAATTCTTCTGACTGCTGCAATAAATGAAACGGGTCCAAATCCGATTAACAGCCCTTTCTTGTGGAGGCGGTATTAAATACTTCGATCTTATTAACTATGGTTACCGGGTATCAATTATATTCACACACTTCAGTTGATTTTTGAAGTGCTATCGTCAAATAAGACAGTGAAATTTCACTTGAAAAAAATTTACATACTTTCATGAAAATTATGTTGTTAGTCATGTATATCATATTAAAACTCAGAAAAGTTATCAATTTCATGAAATGAGGCCTGAATACTCTAAGAATTCTAGCCCGTATTTTGGTTTTGTGAGCATGTTAACGCTCATCAGCAAGATTTATCTGAAATCTTTGGGTAAATAATGCTCACTTGTGAGTACGAAACCAGGTTTGACAGTTTTAGACACTAAAACTAGACTGGTTTTAAAAACCTAAATACTTTTTAAAAACTCGTTATAAGATTTTAGAATGAATATCGGTAGAAACAGATATATTTCTATAAATGGTACTGAACTGAGTAACTGCTTTTCACTAGTAAATAAAATAAGTTTATTTTTCATTCAAATGATGAATCGATAATTGTGCGACTGGAAGCACTGAACAGCCGTTTCATCCGAGTATGCGACTCATTAGCAGTACTCATCGATGACCCAGGCCTAGCCTATTATCGTCTGACTATAAATAATTAATCACGCTTCATCATATTGAATCGGCTCACTCGCTTTCACAACTCCGTTTGTTTTTACTTCTACGCTTTGTATTCTTGAGTCTGTCTGAGTGAACTATGGCCTAAAATGAACTCGTCCGACCGAATCCGTAAGCGACTTCTTATTACCGCCGTTGTACAAACAGGTTTTGACTAGGAATAAAATACGGAAACTGAAGGATAGATTTATTTCACTGCATCAAAATATATTCGTCCAAATCGGAGTCAGCTTAAGGGCCAATAAAGTGGTGAGCCCCAATAATCAAGGAGATTTCATCTCATCAAGATCAAATCAAACATCTTAACATCCTCAATTCTCTACAGAACTGAATTTCTAATTCAAAGGAAAATAATATGCAAAAATAAAGTATTTAAATCTTCCGAATAAGCTTCCACATGTAAATTTACTTACAGATTTTCACAATTCGATGATCGTTTTGACACTTGACCACTACCTATACTAGGAGGATTAACAGTGAGTGCAGGAACAGTTCGATATTGAGTTGTTGAATCAGTCAAATCATCAGTTTCTGTATTTGGAATGTCCAACAGATCGAGAAGAGCATACAGCGTAGACATTAATATCCGAAACTGATACAAAAACAATAACGCAAAGAATTTCATTAAAATAATAGTGTTTTCATGAATCAATAAATCAATAACAATAGTAAAGCAGTTTATTCTAGCCACTAGTTATTCATCAAGGAATATCAACAAACTTACTTTTCAGGGACATGCTTATGTCAGATATTTCATTTTAGTGTTTAGTGCCTCGACATACATTCGAGTTCGCTCATAGTTAATTTACTTAAGCCTTTCGATTAACTTATTTAACCAAGCCATTTGTATAGCAACGATTTATATGTACCATTGGCTTTTATAACTTGTCTGGTTTGTATGAGCTGGTACGATCGAACTTTGCTTATCAACTACGCGCATATTTATCCTGTTCGCTTTAATGTCAATCTCTTAAATTTTTTCAATGACTCAGACATTTTACTATGTATATATATGTACATTTTAATCTTATGAATTCTCTGTGTGGCTGTGGTCTGCTGGTCCATTTGTTGAGTGCCAAAAAATAAAAACGTATTCAACACTTCATGTTTACCTTCTGATTTATAAACCGTCAGGCGCTATTTACTATAGATGATTTGGACGAGTAAATTACGAAGTCAAAGAACACGTTGGATACCGACCGTCACGAAACTAGCGATACTTTGGCCAACATAATTGTCCAAACTTAATAAAATGATAAGGGATTGGTTGAAATCTTAGCTGTTTAAACCCTAAAGTCCACTGTTTCTTCAGAAAGTATTATAATGTAAGGAAGTTTTCTTTCATTCAACAATCATTCACTATCTATAATTGTCATAAAAAAATTCTATTTTAAATGTCTTTACCAAAATATATTCTTAAGTTGACTACCTTATCATAATATATCAAGAATCCGTAACAGTAAAATTAATTTTGTGTATGATTTAAGCTTTAAATTGTCGTCTATAAAATATACAAAAACATTACTTACTCCAGTTATATTGACTTTTTTATCAATCACATGAGGTAGTAGACTAGGGAAAATGTCTGTAGCAATCAATTGAGGTTCCAATAAATAAGATTTTGTATACAACAATTTTTTCCAAGCATCTAGTATTTTAAAAATCAAATGAAAGTGACCGTGTAATGTGTAGTAAATAAAAAATTAATTCTTGTATGGCTTCACGATGAATTCAAGAAAAAATAGAACGTTCAACATTTTTATTAAAACCTATGACTTCGCGCAAAAATGAAGTTACAATTGATTATCAGTCGAGTTATCTATTATTGACTGATTGGTCGACGTAGTCTGCATTTACCGATGTAATAATCATGTAATCATGTAATAATCTCATCAGCTAATGAAACATCCAGCTCAGAGAACCAAACACCACCACAATTATCCGCCTGAGCTAAAAATCTTCTCCACCACCTAGCTTTCTGAATTTTATTCTATACACTACTGAGGTCTAATATTTTGTTAGCATAGATGAAGTTGACTTTATGTGTATATAAATTATGTGCATAAACTTTAAATTTGATCAAGTACAGCAGATAACATTTCCCTATAATTTCTGATGAATCATCTTTTCTTCTTACGTCTCTCAACGCGAAAGAAGTTTGGGACGCCGACCAGCGAATTATTTCTCCTGGTTGGCCTTTTTTAGGGAGTTGGATTTCTACAAGATGGGGTCGCTAACCCGATGCCCAAACCTCCTACTTCTACAGGGTTTGGGACCCACAGTAACCCTAAAAGGGCTCCAGAGATCCATGGTACCTATTAGTTTAGAAATAACAATAGATTTACTTATAGGAGACATAATCATAGTTACTTTTTTTCTTGCTTGCAGAAATAACATCAATTCATACTTAATTGTTAATAAGAATTTAGGAGTGAATTTTCAAATATACATCAGTATCATCACTAAATGGAAGTAAGCTGAGCTATGTTAGAATTGTTAAAGACAGTTTAGATTGGGGATAAGTATCATCTACTGACATATTGGTGCTTGACATCGTATGAATTCTGTTTGTCTACTAATGGCTACCTTCTGCAATAATCCTCACAACTCATTGGAGAAGCGACAGATAGAATTCAATCGTGTATTAAATTTTTAATCAATAGTTATTCACCATAATGATCATTAACACTAAAATGTAGTCGATGAGCCTGAAGTGAGAAAAAAAATCATCTTGGATTCCACTGCAATAAACAACCGTTATATTTATGAAATATTTGAATTAAATGGCTTTATCTAGATAACTGCTTATAATGAACACAAAAATAAATTAGAATATTTATTGTCAAATACATCAGAAAATAACATTTTAAAAACGAAACGTTTGATTAATCAAAGTTAGATACTGACACCAGACAGACAAACAGATACAACGCAGAACTTTGTACGTAAGTACATCAGTTCAGGTTGCCATACCAAATCAGCACAGAGACGCAATCGTCAGTTCAAATCCAAGAGTAATAGAGACAGTAGAAATATTAGAGAGTAGTGGATAAGATTAGGGAGCGAAGATATGATTTGAGAAGTATAATTCAGTAAGACAAGTTTAGAAGGAGAAAGATAAAGATTATGGGGAATTCAGAAGGTTAGAATTTGAAAGAACAAAAAGAGTGGATGCACGTGAGCCATTGCAGACGATTTTGAGCCATGTTATTCAAGGTCTCGAACCATCTGTGACTATCGTCTCGCAGATCCCAACCAGATAGCCTACATCTACCAACATGACTCAGTCCACTTGTCAGTGACTTCATGGATTTGTGCCATGTTTTGGTTTGGCCGCCCCTAGCCTTCATCCAATCTACTCCTACACTGCAAAACATAGCTCGTCGCGGCACTGACACCGTTGGATGCCGGTTCCGTGGCTGAGAGATCAAACACTCACGCATGAGACCGAATGTCCTAGTTTGAATTCCCACGAGCAGATGTCGTGGATGCATTGAAGAGTCTCACACATTTGGATGAAACTGCCGCACAGTGCTTCTACCATGGATAGATTCACAATTTCCATGTAAAAAAACCGCGCAAATCAAAAAACACTATCAAATAAACTTACTACATAGTTCCGAAATCGGTTGTTCATTGGCGTTACTTTGTGTTTGATCATGATGTTCCTCAGCATTATTGACAATATCTGCATTGAACTCTTGAATGTATTCATCATTCAACTTATTATTATTATCATTATTTATATTTAACTTCAGTTCATTGGAAGCAATCAACAGAAAAGGAATTACATCATTTAGAATAGTTGCATCGGATAAACGTGTTAATATTGCAACTAAACAATGTAATGAAGCAAGCTATAAAAGTTAGATAAAATTAAAATTATATTAGAATAGGAATTCATTTATAAATGTATAGGAAATGTAATTTATATTGCTAAATATTTATTTTTAAAAGTCAAGTTTTTCACTCAACTACTTACTTTTAATGGGCATGTCATCAAAATGTATGACATGTGATTTCTATTAACACTGACTAGTACCCCCATATTCGAAAAAAACAGTAAAATATCGTTTCAATGCAATAACATTATATACAACTTTCAAATAACATAAAAATTTGATAAATTTGTTGGTTTTACTGCTAAAATGTTAAATCATTGGAATGATGATGAATGTCGTGTTTATCTAGTTTATTATAATGCCACTGGAATTTGATCGATCCACTTGCGATATAGCTAGTACTAGCCTAACTAGTTCACCGTCACATAGTTAGAGGTAGTCAACAGATAAACTCTACACACATAGAATTTGCACATACGACTTTTAGTGTATTAGTGAAACCCTGCATCACACAGTTTCATAGCCTCTGTGGTTACAAGTGAACTGCAAGATCTTTGCGTGACCTATTAGGACTCAGATGTGTACATTGACTTATCCCTGAATAGTCCTCACAAACCCTAGCAATAAATGAATTATGTCAACCAAGATGGTCTTCCCCCTTAAGATTGTGGTTATGTCCTGCAGTGCATGTACTTTTATGTTGAGCCCACAGGGCTTGTCCCAAGCATTCACACAAATTAGCAAATTCATTACTACTCCCTTCTCTTCTGACCTTGTCAACTATTCGCTTTTATCTTGGTTGTTCCTATTCGAGTGTTTGTGCTGCTTACTTTGCTTATGAGAAGATGTCAATCATATTTTATTTGATTATCAATGTTTAGTCAAGCTTCATTACATTGAGTTGGCTAGGTCGCTTTCTTCACTTCGCTTTGTTCTGTTAATACGCCTTTCATTCTCATTTCTGTCTGCTCAACTGAATTCATGAACGATTGGTTGAAATAAATTCGTGCAACCGAATCCGTATATGGCTTCGAATTACCACTGTCACAAAAATGGGGTTCTCTTAAATATGATATACGGAAGCTGAAAAAGAAATGTATTTCATATCACACTCGAACGTTCTTAAATTAAATAGTCAGCTCATGGGCCAGTAAAACAGTGAGATTGACAATAAACATAAGGTAGTCACTAAAACTGGTGAGCTATAATAAAAGTCCATCACAGCCCTAAGTCTACTGACCAGAGTAAACGAGCTAAAACTCTAAATCGAGGACATCCTGTTAACCATCATTAACCACTGAATACTAATATTTCCCGATATCTTTGTTCCAATTTTCAGACATAAAAACATGGAATCATCCTAAAGAAAACCAATACTGAAAATGCATTCTGAGTACTATGATTCCTTTGTAATGAAATGCTCAATTATATTTTCAAAGTTATTGCACACAGACTGTAAAGCGATTAGTTGATCCCATATGTAAATATATATAAATAGATATACATATGTATGCGAAAAGGTTGTGCAGTTTGTCACTTAACTGTAAAATGCATTTATCTTGCATAAATGACAGAAAAGTATCGACTTTTTATTATGAAAAAAAATATTTATCATAATCAAACAGATTGTAAACGCACATAAACATCCTTCTAAATGTATACAATATTTGTGTTTGGAGTTTTATGAAACAATAAACTTTTAACTTTACCTGACAATCAAGATTTTCTATCAAAAGAATTTTACACCGCAATAATAAGTAATATAACAAAGAACTAAACTTATTCTCATTTATTTTATTTTTTCAATGAAAATATAATTCCAACATTACTAAGATTTTACAATATCCAAACTATTATTAGGAACTATATTCTATGTAATCAAATTCTAGCACAACACAGCTGTTCAGTGAGTGAGTGAGTGAAGTAAAACAATTTTCAAAAACAGAAAGGAATTTTGGCAAACTTGATAGAAGTGTTTATTTTACTATGGAAAACTACTATGAATTGTTTAATTTTCTAAGTTGAAGAAATCAAGATCAGGTTGGAACAAAATGTTCAAATGATGATGCCCAGTTCTCATCAGCATGAGTTAGTCAATAGTATTCAGTTTTCTAGAGAGGATCAACACTTTCTTTGAATCAACAAATAATCTACCTTTAGTAGCACAGTGAAATTTTATACTTTCAGTAAATTAAATTACATTTCTTCAGGTTTGTGAAATCATTTAATAACATTGAACAGTTGAACAAATGTGCAAATTTTGAATTCGATTTGTGAAAAAGTACGATTGTGAAATATTTATACATATCGGCTCAGTAGTCGCGAGGTTAGGTGTACGCACATGATACTGAGTTCGAATCTTGTGAGTGGCGGGTATCACGGATGAGCACCACGATGAAACGACAGTTCAGTGCGCTTCCCAGTTTCTAATGGTGGTCTAACATTGATGGATTCGTAATTTCAATATCTTTATAATGTTTGAATAAAGTTTAACAAGAAAATGAAAATTGAATTTATGAATTTTTTTTTACTGGAAACTGAATTATCCTACACACCATAACACAGTTTAAATATCGGTTTATCAAGATCTTTGTAATCAGAGAACTTTTTGGTTTTGTCTAATTACAAACTACCGGTTAACAAATAAATCGTTGTCAGTTTTGATGATGTACAAAATGATAATAGAATTGAAAAGAATATATAACGCAAAATTGTTATCTATGATTATACACACTCAATTTCATTTTAAACATTGTTACTCCTCATTTGGTATCTGATTACTGAACTAATTAACATGGAAGAAACATACGTAAATAAAATCTTTTACGATTGTAGTGTGGAGCATGAAATTTTAATTAACTGGTCTGACGACAATATACACTAGACGCTTACTGAACATTATTTAGGCCGCCAATTCTAAACAAGTCGAAAACATTTGTTATTACACATTGAAATAATGACTGAATCATTTTTCGACCACAATTAGAAACCTGGAAATACTCGACGGCAGTTTCAGCCTGGTGCTCTTGCACAACTCCTGCTACTCTCATGATTCGAACAGAGGACCTTCGAACACACCAGACCCCAGAGCCGGCATCCAACGATGTAAATGTCTAGTTTTGGTCAATCTAACTTCACGGATAATCTTCGGCAATCACTGCTTACATACGACAGGGCTGAACTGCACTGGTGACGATTTCTCACTTTGTTTCCAATGGTTGTCTAGCAATGATTCATTCATGATTTCAACGTGTAAAAACGATGATCTCCATAATATTATAATGCAAAAAGGAAACATTTGTCCCTGCTCCATGGTATTTATTAATCTCATTTCAATTCATCAGTTAGGAAGTTCATTCAAATGAAAAGAAATGCAAAACAGACAATGTACTACATTCTCAACTATTTTCAATAATATATATACATATACATATCCGTTAACTTTGACTAACCTGTAAGTGTTGACTATTATGCTGAAAAGCTTGTTTAATTTTTTGTAATACAATAATTTCCAAATCTGAAGATGAAATGTAGCCAATTAACAATTCAATATTGTTTAATGCAACAATCTAAAATACAAAGATAAAAAATATTGCCTCTTGAAAATAAAAATGATAACTAAGTATAATTCTAAGTGCAATAAAGTCAAATTTTGATTCTTCAAACTCTTTCTTCTATGTTAATTTTAATTAACTTAATGAGAAATAGTTATCATCGTAGAAGTTTCTTTCTATTTTACAGTGAATTATGTCTATGAGTGTCAGGTTGCGCAAACTTTTAGATCGATCCGAGTTAGATATTAACACTTTTGGATGCCAGCACAATATTGCAGAGGATAAGTGTATTCGCGAAAGATCGAAGATCCTGGGTTCGATTCTTGAAAGTCGTTGGCGTATCCTGTAGCAGGATGAAAAGGCCGGTCAGTGCTTCCAGGTTTCTAATGATGGTCTAACAATGATTAATTCATAATTATGCTAATATTCAATTTATCATCAAAAAATGATTTGAAGAAACGTAACAGTAATATTCATGGCTTTTATTATATAGATAACTAAGATCAAGCATCATGTTACAACTTTATTAGTCACAGTTTCTCTCATTATAATTCTTGTTAATCAGGAAATGAGCATTAATGTAAAAGAATAATAAAGTTTGTTCAGTTACCATGAGTTTATGTTTTTAAATAGAATAATCCAATAGTCTTGACATAATCTCCTATGTACATGTATATTTATAAATACATGTCACCTCTTCAAAGGTGATAACTAATCTGAAATCAAGGAATGTATCAATTTTAGAATGCTAATAGAAAGCTGGAAATACACTGGACAACCATTTCATCCTACTATGAGACTAATCATCAGCAGTACTCATCTACAACTTGATTCATACTTTCAAAGTAACACCAATAATCTTTGCCACCTTATAGGGGCAACAATTAATGCTTCGCCAAGCAATGTATAATGGTGTAAGGGTAGGCTGGAAGAAATTTAGGGGCGATCAAATCGAAACATGGCACAAATCCATGAAGTCACTGACAAGTGGACTGAGTCATGTTGGTAGATGTAGGTTATCTGGTTGGGATCTGCAAGACAATAGTCACCGATGGTTAGAGACCTTGAACGACATGGCTCAAAATCGTCTGCGATAGCTCACGTGCATCCACTCTTTTTGTTCTCTCTAATTCTAACCTTCTGAATTCCTCATAATCTCTATCTTTCTCCTTCTCAATCTATCTCACAGATTTATACTCCCCAAATCATATCTTCGCTCTTAAATACTTCTACTATCTCTATCACTCTTGGATGTGGACTGACAGTTACGTCTCTGTGCTGATGTGGTATGGCAACCTGAACTGATGTACTTACTTACGAAGTTCTGCGTTGTAAATGTCTGTCTGTTTTTCTGTCTATTCCTGTACATTTCTAAGATTACACATTTTCTAACCATACTATTCTGAATCAGTCTCAAGATTATGATTTTTTTTAGGATAAAAAAACATATGTCGAAATAAACAAGTTTTTTTTCTTCGTCATAATCCCTTTGTATGTATTTTATTTTAATCAGTAAGCATCAATAAGCACTAGTTGAATCGGTTTGATGTGCCTAGTGAACAATTTTCCGATCTGATTAGTAGATGGTTTTGCTTTTATTTTCCTCGCTTTTGGCGGAGTATTTATTCAGCATAATTTTATGTGAATACATTAAGTTATGATTTCATTTGTCAAGATAAAATTCCTCTATTTTTTCTTTTTCTCATAGTTACTTCAGCAAATTTATAATGATTAGGCATTTTCTATAAGTTTATATATAAATGAAAATTGTGATTAGCAGGGAGATTTAAAATTCCAGCTTTTTATGTTGTTTTTTCGTTAAGGGACGTTAGATCCTCAGAACTCACTCGGAAAAAGTCTTAATTTTTTCTAATTTATTTGTGAAATTTTGAATTTCTATGCTTTCGCGTCGAAAGACGCTTAGTTGACCTAAAGCTTTCATCGGCCACTTGGAAATTCTTGACTGTCATTCGTTGACGGATTTTTTTAGTATGATATTTTTTAGCTCTGCCAAGGGCCTGTTTGTGCTTAGCAACCTCTTATTTTTCTATGCCTTATATCAAGACTTCTTGCTTTTGTTAGCAGGGCCTTGGATAACGGATTAGAATAGCCTATCGTGTCACTGAGTCGCTGCTTTCCTGCCGTTTACGGAGTAAGGTGAACTTGTAATAGCATTCAAGCATATCAGTTTTGGACTCATGAATTGAGTTAAGCTAAGAATTGGTCTTCATAAGCGACAGAAATAGTCGATTTCAACATGGATGGAACTCAGGATATTCGAGTCCTGTTGTAAATGCTAAGTTTTTAGATCACTAAGCCAGATTCCTATAACGTTGATGTAAAACTCCAATAGATTCACACACAACAATTCTCAACTATCTTTCGTTAGTTTTGGTAGTAATCCGCCAAACACTTTCAACAAATTTAGATTCCATCGGTTGAACTTTTCGTACTAGAATATAAAAATTCTTATGTCAAAATTAACTATTAGTAAGCTCATGAAGATTCCTTATCCGATTTCTGATAAAATGGTGGATTCACACTGTTGAAGAGTAATTCATTCTAGAACAAAGCCACTGTTTGGTACTTCAAAGTGTATAGTAAGTTTTCAACTTATATTGATTCATATTGTTAATACCATTCTTCACAATCAGACATGTATAAAAATAGGTACACTTTCGAATCGAATCAACACTAAACATGATAACAAGTTTATTCACTATTCTAGCGTAAAACAAAACACTCCCTTATTAATAACAAAAATAAAATATTGAAAATACTTATAACCAAGTCGCTTAAATTATTTTGTCGACAAAACAAACTCATTTTCCAAGGATTTGTTTTTCTTTTTTTCAATGTTCAATTATCTGTACATAATTTGATGATGTTTTACTATTATTATCTTACTATCTATCAACATATACATATTTTCTCAAACTTATTATTTGTAATGGGAAATTTCACATTTCATTCATTCACTTATTCATATTACGTCACAGAGTGTAAACAAAGAAATCATCCTAAGTGGGAGAGGAAAAAAGATCCGTGCCTCAACTTTTTTCTTGTTGTTCATTAACATAAACAAATTAACTAATTTGTTATTTTCAATGACCACTATTTTTTTCGTATACACTTTTATTACACTTCATTTACTACCACGATCAATATAATTTATGCGTAGAAATAAGAAGAGATGTTGGTCTAGCGTTGATTTATTCCAAGCACGTTAATATCTACTATTCATTATTACAAACTGGAATTAGGGAAACATTTAATTGACTCGGCCAGGAGCCCTCCTAGGGCTGCTGCCGTTCTCAAGCACCGACAAAGTAGGAGGGTTTTTAGTTATTTCCATAACTCATTGTAGTTATGTCATAACTAACCAATCAAATTGTGGTTTAAGCGCCCACCACGTGATCCGATATGACGTGTCTGTAAACCTTCCTTGTTGTAAATCACCTACTAATTGAAGGACATTATTATCTTATTATATTGATGTGAGTCATAATTTTATTCATTTCCACAAGACACGCTATATTGGTCGGTATGTTTGATCGTTTCACTTGATAACTGTAATTTCCTTATTTATTGTACTAATCTAATTGTTTTTATGTTTAGAAACAGATAAAGTTTAAAGCAAAAGTTGATCTTGTTCTGACTATAGCTTTCCCATAGACTCTGTGCTCGCCAATATTGCGTTTACCGTTCTAGAAGTTCATCTGTAGGACAAATTACATCCTACAAGGGTTGTGCATGCGGGTTAGCGACCCCATCTTGTAAAGAACTAACCCGCTAAAAACAAACGCACACCAGAGAAATAAAACATCAAATTACATAATGCATTATGAAAATTACCTGAGCTGTAATATTATTTGACACTAAACATTGTTTCATCAATGGTAAAATATACTGTTCAATAACATTATCCGGTACTTGTTTCAAAAATGATCGTGTATGCCGAACTAAACATATTTTTGTCTAAAATATGTAAAAAAACAGATACAGGTGAAAATAAGTGCAATGAATATTGATCCATAGTAGATGTTACTCAGATGCATATTTATGAGCTTCTCTGATGGAGTTTCGTTCGTTCGTGAGCTGAATGTTTTACTTCTGGGCCTTTCATTGTTCTTCTGAATAATATCATCAGCATTAGCTTCAGTTAAAAGTGAATGCTAGTTCTGGTGAACTTTGACTCTGAGATTTCTTATACTTCCCTTCTATCTGAAGTCTTTGTTGATGTTGTTCAGAAGCTTCATAACCATCTATGTTGTGGTTGGTTGTATGGTAATCAAACAACTGATTCATATTTCTATAAAGTTTGATCGACTGATAAAATATATTTAATTTGATAACTAATTACAATCGAAATACCTTGTAATTTAAATAAAATCAACAAGGGTAGTCTTGTGTCTTGTTTCAACTGGTTAATAAGAAAATTTCAAAAACTTTGCATAGCTTGACAAAACTTATTCATAACTCATCATTAAACTATTATAGAATTTTTGTCAAGTTGGACATTAAAACCGTTAGACACCGGCTCAGTGGTCCGGAAGTTGGGCGTTTGCGCGTAAAAACGAAGGTCCTCGGTTCGAATCCTGCGGGGTGCAGGAGTCGTGGATGCGCTCTGCCACTGATGAGTCCGGACAGTGTTTCTAAGTTTCTAATGGTGCTCTGACATTGATAGATTGATGATTTCAATGTGTAACTTAACAAGCTTCCCAACCTCGTAATGCAATTGTTTTATTCTAGATAATGAATTTCCAACAGTGTTCATTCATAATCTTCACACACCCACTGACTGATACTGAAATGATTTTCCGATATCTTACTGATAACGTTCAGCTGCCAAAAATTAAAAATCTGGTGGTCCTTGGGTTATGCAGTGATCTAATTGAATTTTAAGAGTGTAAACGTTTGAACTGTGGTGTTTAACTTTTTAAAGTTTAGTTACTAGATGTGTATCTTATGGACTTAATTCTTTATGAGAATGTGAGTGGACAACGTTTCAAAAGTATCTAATTATCAAAATGCGTGATCTTTTATCAGTGTGTGTACTGTATTGTTATGCTATGAATTAAATAGTATCTAATACGTTAAGTAGTGAATAAATTTATATTGTTATACATGTATAAGAGATAAATAAAGTTTGAAGTCACAGATTTCGTAACTTTTATTTTCTGTTCTATGGTTGAACGGACAATCGAATAAAATTTGGCGACGAAATCACTGATAAATTTTTTATGTCACCTTTTATTTGACAATGCAATTGTATTTTTCAACTAGAGTTATGGTAATCATTGTTTTTACTCACTGAAATCATGAATCAATTATTGTTAGACCACCATTAGAAAGCTGGAAACACTGTGTGGCCATTTCGTGCTACGAGTAGCGAACGTCGTGGGTCGAAGAATTTTTCATTCCTTATACAGCTATTTATTTTTGCTCGTTTATTTTATTGGTTCGTTTCATATTTTAAAAAGTGGTGATTTGTTCAATAATTGTTCAGGTAATATTATCCTTTTTGAATGATCTAAGTGTACACTTGCGGTATTTGAAAGATATTGATTTTGTTTCGTCTAGTTCAGTTAGTTTTTCAATGAAGAAGATTGGTTTGAATAATAATAATAGAGATACACAACTACTAATTTCGTTTAGGCTACATTTTCTTCGAGTGATCTGAAAGATACTCAAATTCCGAATTCTTTCACGTCTATAATGAAGCTGTGAACTAGTTTTTATCAATGAAATTCATCATTCCATAGATGAATAACGATATTTTTAAATCATTATTGTGATGGTATCATCATTATTCGCTTTATTCAATATTCAATGTTTGTTTGTAGCGAATAATCTTGGGCTTTCAATGTTCAATATTGTAATAAATTACTCATTAGCATTAAAGTAAATTTTCAATGTTATATCTTGAAATTTGATTTTGTTTTTTTTTAAAAAAATTTGCAATAAGATTACATGTCTTTTGTTTAACCAAAGCATACTTTCATAATAAACATGGAAAATTAATTAGCATATTTTTAATAAAAAGACAAGCGATATCAGGATAATAGGATGTCTTAATTTTTTTTTAAATATATATAAATGTTCTTAACCAGTATTTGTGTCTAATCAGATTGTTTGAAATGTATTGTGTTCATAGTTTTATGAAAATGTTTGTCTACTCTCTACACCGTTCAAAAATTTATCAAGAAGATTGATTATTTTGAATATTAGTAATTGGTTAGAATTCAAAATTTAAAAATAATTTTATTTCAATATTTATGTCAGTAGTTTCATTGAAGTCATCACTAAATACATACCCCAAGCTTTCTAAATGCACTAATGAATTGCTTGTGAAAATACATGGGCATTTGTAAGCAGTTAAACTGGAGGTCAGTTGAAATTGTAACTAATAATAATATAAATAGGATAACCTTCGTTCAATGTCTGCTGAATATCCAACTGATGTTTAAAATGAAAAGTGTTATAGACAAGCGCCAATGTGAAGATCAGATGCATTCAGCTAATCAAATGTAAATAGGCCGTAACTCAAGTACTTCGTTTCCACTGCTATCCACTTATATATATATATATTCTATTCAATATTTGTTTTAAATCACGTAGAAACCATGTTTTATGAATCCCGTACTCACTTCTTAAGACTATCAGTATTTACTGAAATTTTTTTAAGCAAACAAACATGTATAGTTGACTATTATTATTTCAGGAAATTCAATTACCTTATATCAATTGACTTACTTTTAAATTGGCACTTTTCTCAAAAATATTTATCAAATCTTTCTCTATATAATCGGTATAATCCATAGAAGAGCAAACTTCAATTAAATGAGCTAGTCCACTGATCAATAATGAATCTGATTGAATACAAATATCTTCATTTGATTTTTGCATCACAGAGAGATGAGATGTTGACATTGTTAAATTGTAATCATTAAGCAAATTACTAAATTGTCTTGTTTCTAATTGCCAATGTAATTCAATCAGTTTAGGCATTATTCGACCATAAAGAATTGGCTGGAAAGTGTTAAACATGAAAACTATTATCGTGCATTACTTACTAGTTTAGAATAATGATAATATACATACAATTTTTCACATTCTTACGAATATATATATATATATATATATATATATATATATATATATTGATTGTTAAAAATGTTACTCTTTCACGTTTGATTGTTGAAGGTAGGTTTTGCGTAAGTTGACAATCGACAGCAGGGTATTTATGTCATCGTAAATAACCTAAATTTGCTGGTTTGATTCAAAACTTCAAGTCTCAAAGATTACCGGCGAGCACGATAGTAAAAATAAAATATTCCCTAAAATAATCATACATACACTTTGTTAACATTTGTCAGCTATCAATAAACCTATTCTACTCAGACTAGTAACTACACTACAATTCGCTATAAGTGGACAAACACGATATTCATCTATACTGTGTGATCAATCAGTACAGGCTAATTAGCTCGAACGCTTATTTTAAGCGGTAAACTTCATGCCAGGAGGCGCTTCCCAAGATAGACTATGTGGGAGATGATAGCAACAGAACAGTTTAAAATCTTCATAATTATAGCTCTGTTACAATCATTTAAAAAGAATCGAGAGCTTATAACTAGTAGTAAAATTTAGGACTCGTGGCTCGTTCTAATTGGAATTTCAGTGTATCAGCATTAGTGTGAATCCTTAGATGAAGAGCTGAACCCAGTAGTTGTGGCTTTGGACTCCTAAATGTTCTAAATAGAATAAAACGCACTTATTGCATTGAAATGCTAATCAGAAATCTTGCTATTCATTACAAATATTTTTATATTAGCTACTTTGAGTAAATCCGTGTTGAATGTAAAAATACTTTTCAACATTTATTACCGTTTCTTCATTTCTCAGAAGATCGTCTCCGACTTTACATTTTTATGCTTTTTAAAAAAGGTTACTGCTTGGAGTATTTTGATGTAAGGAAATATGTAGTAAAGATAATTTAGGCAGGCTGCCTATCAAAATATTTATAAATATTCTGACTACAATTTTTTTTTCTGATCTTTCCAGCGAAAGTTTTTAAAACCGAAAAAATTACAATAATATTTAAAATCGGTACAACTGTCAGCTTAATCAATACATTAGCATGAAAGAGTTTTTGCCGTATGAATACTTTCAAGCTATGTAGTTTATAACGTTCACTTCAAATTATCAACTAATATACACTGATGGCCTTGATCAACCACACCGGGGAAAAAGTGTTCCAAGTATTGACTAATTCTTAGATGAAGTAATGAAACTTCATCAGTTGAGGTGGTTGGGACATGTGTTGCGTATGCCTAACCATCAACTGCCTCGACGAGCTTTGTTTTGTAGTGTAGGAATAGGTTGGAAGAAAGTTAGGGGCGGCCAAACCAAAACATGGCAGAAATCCATCAAGTCATTGACGAGTGGACTTAGTCATGTCGGTAATTGTCGACTACCTGGTTGGGGTCCGCGAGATGATAATAATCAATGGTTAGAGACCTTGAATGACATGGCTGAAAATCGTTCGCAATGGCGCCGGTGCACTTATTCTTTGTGTTCTCTCAAATCCTAATCTTCTGGATTCTCCAACACCTCTATTTTTGACTTTCTAAACTGTTCTCACTGAATCATACTTCTTGAATAATATCTTCTAATCCTAACCTCTCCGATTACTTCTAATACCCTTACTAACTCTTCTTCTATTGGATTTGAATTGACAATTACATCTCTGTGCTGATGTGGTATGGCAACATGAACTGATGTACTTTTGTACGAAGTTCTACGTTGCATCTCACTGACTGATGCTTTGCTGTACATACGAATCGTCATCTGCATACATATTCATTTTGTTATATTTACTTACAGGAGTATTCGAACAAAGAACTTAGCTCTACAAACGTCAATGTACTATAGCCTGAGATACTGAATTCACGTTTTATTACACTTGTAAATCTAGATGATACTAACAGACTGTTTGATTGTAGATTTAGTCAAAATGTTGTTCGTAATAGGAAAGAACGGGAAACAAAATATTTTATTCGCCATTACATATATACTAAATTATTTCATTGCCTTAAGAATAAATTACTCAAAAAATATTCATTTCGTTAAACATACTTTCGAAAGATTTTCTGCATTGTTTTGTAAAATTTGTAAAGCTCTTATTCTATCTTCATCAGATTTCATCTCGAAATTAATAATCCCATCAAGTAGCAACATTGTAGGATCATTGAAAAATTTTAGCTACAGTACAAAAAAATCATGATAATAAATTTTGATAGAGTTTAGAAAAAATAACATTTTTTGGCAGAGGAAATGTCTACTGGGGAATAAGCGAACAAATTATGTTGTGTGTACTTGTTAGTAACTTTGAGAATACTAATTTTAGAAAATCGTACTTGAAAAATATTCATAATATTAATTATTTCATTCTTATGATCTTATTTTCTCTGTTTTACTAAGTACATTTAGTAAATACATTAGTTAAAATGGTACAATCATCGTCAGACCACCATTAGAAACTTGAAAGCACTGGACGGTTGTTTTCTCCTAGTAGGGAACACATTAGCAATGCGCATCCACCACTCCTGTACCTTGCGGGAATCCAACCTAGGATATTTGGTGTTACGCGCGAATGCCTAACCTCTGGACTCGTTGTGTTTATCAGTAAAACTTATCAAACACACTTAGTGTAGGTATCATCATTTTATAGCAAATCAAAAGAACCATCCGCCTTTTGTCCTTCAATTACAAAAAAGCATGTACATTATTACGTCAGACTAAATGAGTTTATTTAAACAACACTAGATGTTTTCCAACTGAGATTAGAAATAGAAAGTACTCATAATTAATTAATGGTCCATAACGAAAAAAACTTTGAACAATTCCAAATTAAAAAATTCGCATCTTCTTCACTAATTTGGAACATGGGTAAACTAATGAAAATTCATTGGTCAAGTGAAAAAATTACACCATTCTGTGAAAGTTATAACCTTATGCAAATTTCAGTATTTTCCGATACACACATGAATGTAGAGAGAGAATGTGCTTTCACAGTAAGCGTACTCTGAAAATATCGATTGAGTGTAATGGCTGCCACACTGAGTGGTTTTATTTTCTTGTAAGCGCTTACATTATGTGTAAGATTACATTCTGGACTTCGCTTTCACAAAAGTATCGTCGAATGCACTCCTTAACAATCTGAAAATCATAGAGTTGAGCAACTTTAGTTCAAAATAAATGAAAAATTTGTTTTGTAGAAAGCTTCGAATCAATACTTTAACATATTTTAGAAAATGTTTATTTGAAATGCTTTTTTCTTTGTAACAAATTAAACTGTAAAACATACTAATGCAAATAATTGAGAACTAGGTCTCTTGTGTGGATTTCTTGAAAGTAATTTCTCCACTGGCTCAACCAATTCTAAAGGCATACGACAAACTGACAATCGGAATGCTTCTGGTATCTGTTAAAATGAAGAAAAAGCAAACGATAAGCAAAACCGATCATTTATCATGTATAAATATCAAATAACAATAGTGAAGTAATCGGCTAATGATAAAATATTCATTAGCTAGTTGGATACTCAAAGCTCATAGAAAAACATGGTAATTATTTGAATGACTAAGCGAGCAAATATTAGAATATTACAGATGTACATATGTACATCAGTTCACATTAGAACAGAGAGATCCAGTTGTCTATTCAAATCCCATAGTAGTAAAGGTAGTAGAAGTATTAGCAGTATTTGGAGAGATCAGGATTCAAACATATTATTCAAGAAGTATAATTTAGTAAGATAACTTTGGAAAGAGAATGATAGAGATGATGAGGAATTCAGGAGGTTTAGAAGGAATACAATGAATGAATCCACCTGCGTTATTGTAAACGATTTTCAGCCATGTCAATCAAGGTCTCTAACCATCGGTTACTATCGTCTCGTGGACCCCAACCAAGAAGTCTAACCCTACCAACATGTCTCATTTCACTTGTCAGGGACTTCATGGATTTTTGCCATGTTTTGGTTCGGCTGCCCGTAAACGTACACTAGACCAAATCGGTTCCCATCAAATCCTTCCTACACATCTTCATAGGTTTCTTATCGAATGTTGAGAACATACATGATGATGAAGTAAATTGTTATTTCTAGACAGCTGTTATCACAGAAATTAAGTACCAATGTTTTCCTGCTCTGAATTAACATATGTAGCTATATAACTAATATATATTTTCAGACCATTTACTGTCAGTATTTATCAACAACAGAAAAGTAGTTTTGTAGTTTTCAGGCTAAACTTAATCAACCGCCTAACTAACTCAAACGTTTTCCTGACTATTATTATTATTATTATTATTATTGTTACTAGTATATGTTTCAAGGCTGTTTGTCTGATTTTGTTTTGGTTGAGGATGTTAGATTCCCAGAACTCGCTTGATAAATGCCTTATTTTGGATTTCACGTTTGCGAGCACGGTCTGATCAGTGAACCTTGAGATTTCATTTTTGTGACTGTCCCAGGGACGTTTCTGTGATGTATAAACAAACGAGAGTTATGTGCTTGATTGTATTGTGCTCGCTGTGTGTACTTTCTACGCTTATCAAGACTTCTCTTTCACAGTTTTGGGTTCAAGGTAGCCTGCCTGGATGCTGGTGCATCGTCTCGTTCGCGTTTATCGACTAAGGTGAACTCGTACTAGCCTCAAGCGTACCTATTGACGTATAGAAATTTTGACAGACGAATTCTGAAGTTTACGGAAGCCTTGGCTATTCGTAAATTAAAACCTCTGTTGTGTGTACACAAACAGATTGTTACAATCTTGACTTTACCATGGTAATATTTCAGCCATTTTATGGCTTAGGCTCACGTGACAATTTCCTACCCTTTCTTATTCTTTCGATGATAGGTTGATTTTTTCTCTCCTTCATTTACAGTGATTACCTGACGTTTATTTGAACTTTTATTTAATTGACCTTTTAGCAATTTTCAATTAAGAAGATGCCTTAAACGAGTCGTCTACATATATGTGACCAGATTGTTCGAAAAGTAAGGCGTAAATACACAACATCACAACATTTTTCAGGTCACTTAGGTCTGCTCATTGTTTAATCAAAATTTATATAAAAGGGACTAATTGTTTTAAATAATAATAAATTGACTTATTTTTTTATATTTAGAACAAATTAAATTAAATTTGTTAAGTCGGATACTGTTGAAGTGAATCTTATTAGTACAGTATATCTTCTCCCAATAATGCGATATTCAGAAATAATGTCACCAATGGTTATATATATGTATATTCCATGTGTATGACATTTCACAGTAATATTTCCTCTCTTATAAATATAATCAATCAAAACACTTTATCAAATCAAATCTTTCCGAATATTTGTATGTGATTTTACAATGTATGAAATTGAAAATACTTGTCAAACTACACTAAATTGAAGCTGAAAATCTTGGTGATTTGATATGGTTCAACTGAGATGATAACCATGAATCGATAAACGTTGAAGTAAATAGTTTTACACAAACTGTTTTATTAGATAAACAATTTATAATGATATTATAAGTCAGTTTCTGCCTGAACTCTGTAGTTAAATAGATAACGGCTATCCAGTGCTTCCAAGTTTCTAATGAGGGTCTAACCGTGATGGATTCATGATTTCAGTGTAAAACAACAACCTCCATAAATCTATGATGAAAAACTTATTTATCTCTTCTTAACACAATTACTTACAGTTTCCTAGAACACCGAATAATTGTTGTGTTGTTTCGTCCTCTGAGCTGGATGTTTCAGTTGTGGAGCTTTCGTTGTTCTTCTGAACAACATCATTAGCACAAACTTCGGATAGAAGTGAAGTATTCGAATTTCTTCACGTCTGATGTGTAGTTTGTTGCTGCCGACCTCAAATCTCTTGCTGTTTGCACATTTGTTTTGATTGTTTCCCCATTTTGGTCTGTTTCTTGATCCTATGTCGCCTTTGATTTTTCTGATTGGTTGATAAATTGGGTCAGTGTCGATGTGTATGTTAATTGCTGATTGGTCTGAGCGCCAAGCAACTAAAAATTCTCTAGTGTCCTTTGTGTTCCCTCTATCCAGTATTTCCACACTGTTCCACTTGAATGTATGTCCATAGTTGTCGGTGTGTATTGATATAAGTGAAGAATTTTCGTGGCGTTTGACTGCTAATCGGTGTTCACGTAAACAAAGCTGAAGAGGCCGTCCACTTTGTTCTATGTAGCGTTTTTCACAGTCTGAGCAATTTATTTTGCAGATGATATATAGTTTTTCTTCCTTTGTCATTTTGTCTTTTGGTCTACATAGGATTGATTGAAGTGATTATTTTGGTTTGTGTGCCACATCTATTCCGAATGGTCTCAATAGTCCTGCTGTATATTTCGATGTCTTTTATGTATGGTAGGATAATCCATTTATTGGTTCCTGTACTTGATTTCACTTCTGTTGACGATTTCGGTTGATGGATTTCATGAAGTTTCGTGGATAGCCGTTCTTTTGGAAGATAGTCATAAGATGTCTTTCCTCGTTTTTTAGTGCTTCATATGTGCTGCACTGCGTCTACGCTCCCTTGAACAATGTTTGGTTGCAGTTGATTTTTTGGGATCTTGGGTTGTTGCTACCGTAGTTGAGAATTAGGTCTGTGTGGATTGGCTTCTGAAATACTTGAGTCTCCAGTTTTCTTGTGTTAGTTCTGATGATTAGTACGTACAGGAATGATAGACTGTTGTTTGATTCCTTTTCCACTATGGACGTTCAACAGAAACATCCTATAAACTTTAAGAACAGCACATCTCGATGAAATATTCACTTTTATTTTGTTTGCCATATTCCTAGAAAGTTTTAAAGTATCAAGGTCAAAGCACACCTATAAATACCCGTATTTTATGTACTTGAACTAACCTAGGATGTTAGGCTTCTTTTCATACTACTACGTCTTTTATCTTCTGTTCAAGATGGATATGACCACCATTTTCAGGGGACTAGGAAGCAACCATAAAGTCATATTTATCATCTGTTTACCAGTTATCTATTACTCACAGCTTTCAATATCCTCAGAAAAAAATTGATGTTATTTTGTAGTAAAACTCATTTAAACAGTATTTTTTTTAAATGAACACAAAACAAAGAAATATGAATTGGCTCGAAATCACTTACATCTGAACTTTGACTAAGTTGAACTGCATGCATGAATTCGGAACCAGTCTCTTGAGTATTATTTTCTTTACAGTTCATAAGCGATGTTTCTGATGTTTCATTATCAAATCCACGTTTCCTTGTGTTTTGTAACCATTGAACTGATCCTTCAGCTGCATTACCATAAGTATACAATGCACAAATCACTAAACCTAATGAAAACATATCTGACCATGTTCCAGGTATATCATCAGATGAATTTGTTTGAGATTTAATCGATGCTGTAACTGTCGTATGATCTGGGCTATTCTTATTAGGGAAATGATACAAGTCACTGGATGCTTTAGTACGAAGTCCAGCAAAATGACTACTTGATACATTTGTGAGATTTAAACATTCTGGAGCAGAATAATGACAATCTGGTCGAGCCATTTTTGGCCATTTTCTTGTCCATGGTGAAGGACCTAATTCATACTTTGTTAAACAGTGAGAGAGAGAAAGAAAGAGAAATATGTCAAGCTATAAATCATTTGGTAATTTTTTTGCAACTAGTCATATTCGAATGAAAATATTAAACGATTTAAAAAGAAATAAGTTTTTTATTGTAATTATCAAATTTATGTTAAAGATAATATATATAGTTTGTCTACTCTGTGAACTTGTATTCGACAAAGTCTTATTTTGTTACGTTTAGGACATTTGGACAAGACAATCAAAGCTTCATGTTCTAACTTTTAAGCAGTGACTATTTTTCTAGAATGACGGACGAGTAATGATTTACATTTAAAACAATCGCTAATTACTTTCCATCACAATACAGGCTATGTTAAGTGCCATTTAAAATCGTTGACAGTATTACACTTTGATCATGTGAATTCAATCAGAGCTAAACACGAAACAAATTTTCCATTGCTTACTACTTAACAATCATTTAATCAGCATAGAAATATCTATATTTGATAATGTATAAATAGGAACGATAAATCTGAACTACACGCAAATCAGTAAGTTAAATCTGTAATCGTGTTATAGTTAAATGTGTACATGGGGTTGGTTAAAGTAAGCTTTGTGTCCCGTAAGCAACCTCATTCTTGACAAATATTCGATAGTTGTGTAATGATCACACTAATGATAATAATTAATAACACGGTTTGAAAACAATCAGTTCAAATTAAATTGTGAATTTGAGAGAGATTGATCTGATCAAACCATGAGAAAGAGTTGCACTTAAGGATGATGTTATAGTATAGACGGAATGTTACCAGTGTAAAGAAAGACTATCAGTTAACTTGAACGGTTTCATAGTCTCCACTTGATGTCCTTGATGTATCAAGTTAACCATAGTGAAAATTTTGAAATAATGTGATACATATCTCTCTCACCAATTACGTTCGAATTTATAGGTTGTAACGCTGCCTGAATCCCCATTATGGTGACCACCGGTCCCAAGCCCTGATAAAGGATAGGGGTTCGGCATGGGGTTGACGATCCCATCCCACAAAAAACTAACTGGCCAAAGGATTTTAACCAGAAAAATTAATCCAAATCAATTAAACTCTGCCCTGAGAGTTAAGCAATCTTCATTCAGAAGAGTTATGACTTTTCATAATGAAAACCGAAGTACTTCGGAAGTCACGAAGTCGATACCCCTCTTGACAATCAGAGCAACCATTAATTTCTCATTTGAAATTTATAAATTGTCAGCAGCTGATCAGAATCCAATGACATAAAATGAATTCACATTCATCTATACCATCGTTTATTTTTTCACTCTTCGACACATCTATTTGTTGGTAAGCTATAGCTAATTACCTTCTAAAATTTGTTACTAAACAGCGTTCAAATTATGCGTACATTTTCGTTTAGAATATTTAATGTTTCATTAGGGAATATTTTAATATTTTTATTCAATTAATTACGTATCTAAAACGCACCTAAACACTCCAGTGAATTTTTCTAGCTGTTCAGATTAGACAGCTATGATATCAGTCAGAGAGTACACAGTAACTACGTAAAAATCACTCGGCGTTATCAAAAATGAGTAGATGACAGTAACCTGTCTAAAGTTATTGTGTTATAGAGTTTCGTTCTCTGGACTGAATGTGTTTTGGTTGTAGAGCTTTCATTGTTCTTCTTCTAAACAACATCATTAGCACAAACCTTAGGTAGAAGTCATGAAGTATTCAAGTTAATTATATCTAATCCTACTGTTTCAGATGAATGGATTCCATAGTTAGAAATCCCAATGAAACTTATTTAATCTCGTAATCATCATCCATTAATAAGTGAACATATAAAAACACACTCAAATTCAACGAATAGTTTCATTTTTTTTATAAGTTAGAGCACTAGAAATTTATTTTTAACCATGAATCGATCAATGTTAGACCACCATTAGAAACCTGGAAGCACTGGACGGCCGTTTCGTCCTGGTATGGGACTCCACGACTCCTGCACCCCGCAGGATTCGAATCCAGGACCTTCGGTATTGTGAGCGAACGCCCTAACAACTGAAGAGTTAGTTAGTTATTGAAACAATTTATTAAATCTAGAACCATTTTCCATTGACAATTCACTGAACTAGTTTAATTTTTTTGTATCAACTTAGAATGTCCTTTTGACTTGTTTCTTTTTTTTTAAAAAAAAACTCTTTCCTAACATGAATTAGCGTCAATCATAAAAAAATTTTATTAAATTTATAACGAACAGTGTAAATTCGGTCAAATATTAATATGTTATTGAACACAATAACATAATAACATTTTTTTTAAATCAAGGGACTGAATTGTTTTATGAAAGAAAAAAATGTTAAACAAAATTTGATAAATCAAACTTCTTTCCTGTTTGTTGGAATAATTTGATAAATATATATATCTAATAAATAGGCTACAACGGGTTAATGGTCATTAGCAAGTTCTATTCTAATGTAATGACGATTGGATATATACAAAGACAAATGAAATATGGTTCAACGGAACTCGATGAATGAAAATTCCATCTGTCACTGATGAAAAAATTAGTTTATTGTGTATAATAATAATAATAATGAGAAAAAAATAGGATGTCAACCTTGAACTTTTGCTTTTCATTTCACAAATATTTATTTTTTTGTTTTTGAAACATACTTTTAAAAATTCAAAGGC